AGGCATTCCCGCTGCCCCGAACAAGCCCAGGCACAAAATCCTCCCTCTGAGAAGCCGAGAGCTAATGAGCAAGCAGGCACTAACGGTGATAATTACCGGGGGAAAAAAAAAAAATTAAAAAAACCCAAGCTGCAGTTCTCCTGCTGACTCCCTTCGGTCCTCCCACTAAGCTGGAGAGCGCCTGAACCTACCCTCCCTTTCCACAGGCAATAAAGCTGGCTGCTGGCCTCGCTGCCCTGCTCCTTCAGCTCCTTCCCGACCGAGCCGTGAAAGGACTCGGGGGGTTTTCGGGGTTGTTTGCTTTTGGGTTTTTTTTTTTTTTTTTTTGGCCAGGTTTTTCTAAGCAAAAAGAACCAAAGAACTCGCAAAGCAAACGGGGTGAAACGAAACTGAAAGCAGCCCCAAGCCGGCCCCGGGGAGCTCAGCGGGCTGCAGGAGGCAGAGAGCAAAAACAGACCCCGAAAAGGTGGTGACGGTCCCCGCCCCGAAGCCCTTACTAACCGTCACGGTGTCCTGGCTCAGGTACCCGGAGAGGCTGCCCGTCCCGTAGTGGATGGCGAATTCGGTGCCGTTCTCCACGTAGGTGCTGGACTTGGAGGCGTCATACTTGTGGTGCAACACTGCGGCCGAGGACAGGGACAGGGGAGGACGCGCAGCGTTAACGCACGGCATCGCAGCCGGCACCCGGCGGCGGGAGGGAACCGAGCAGAAAAACTGAGGCTGGAAAACCCGCCCGTCCGTCAACAACACGGCAGCAGCCTGCTGCTATGAAAGGGCCAACAACAGCCTCTGTGGAAGGGGACCCAGCCGGCCTGCTCGTCCCACTTCCCAGCGCCTGCCGGGGACAGACGGAGGCAAAGACAGGCCTGACTTTTGCCAAATCCGGCATGCTTTGGGAAGCATTTCTAACGCGGGAGCGAGGCGCCGAGATCCAATTTGGCAGTTTAATAGGATTTGGCCGTAGCATATTAAGAGGCCGGAGTCTAGGTGGCTGGCGTGTCAGGGTACATCGAAGAGCAGGGGGTGACGCGTCCCCGCAGCTGCCCCCGCGCCACGGGCACCGGGGGCGACTTCCCCTTTACTGTTTGCTCTTTCTCTTCTCTTCGATACAGCCGTCAGTTTTCGCCCGTAGACGGCCCGAAGCATTTTTGTCGCTTGCGGAGGAGAAGGGTTTTCCCCCTCTCCCGAGCTGTTTCTCCCTTGGAAAGGCCGGTACCGGCCCGTGGCAGGGTTTTGCCCGGGCAGGCGCGGGGGC